CTCTCATAAATCAGATACTTATGATAGAGGCGGAGCTTGCAAAGGAAATGTGTCTATTAAAATGCCTTTGTAAGTGTGCAATATGTCCAAAACCTTACCTTGACTTTCCAACTCCACTTTCACCGATGATTAGAATTTTGAGCGTAGTTATAGTAGGATTCGACGCATCTTCCGGTTCACTCAAAAACGACATCTGAAACCACAAGTACTACGTCGTGACGTCAAAATACCTTTCCATTACTACGAAGTCACATGTTTGCAAAACTCTATAAAAAGAATGAAGGCAACGGGCCGTCCTCACAATCGAAAGTAGCGTCATCACGCGCCTCCTTCACAATAACACGCCAAGCCGGGGAACAGAGGATGATGACGTCACCGCCTCCTACAGTAGGCAGTTCCGCTCTGGACCAACCGTCCGTTCAGCGGGAAGTTCAAAATTTCAGTTGTTCTACAGGGTCAATTTATTCAAAATCTTTTCGAAAATAACTGAATTGTGCTGTATCTTGCTATTGAAACTCAACATCATTTCAAAAACGGCAAATACTTATGATTGAGAGCAGAAAGAATCAGCGACAACTCATCTGGATAGCCCTAGCTTCTTCGGAAACGCTTCACCTGTTTTAATTTGCTTATGGCCAATGTTTGACGTTCTCAAGAAAAGTTTTGTTCTGGCACCTGAAAAAATGCTTTTATAGGTTTTGAGAGGATACCGTTTGACCATAACTTATTATTCGTTACGATATTTCATCTCATAACAAATCACATTGACAGGAAGGTGAGATCGGCACGTTAAGGACGATTTCCCCCATATCTGTATGATTGTTCCTATCAAGAACTGACCTCGCGTTTGCATACTGTGGAAAGTGGCGTTCAGTTTCAAACATAGTCAGCTAAGTGATTCGGGGAAGAAAAAAAAGCTAGAAATATCACGGAGAGCAGGTACAGTTCGGCGACGGAGGGCATTTTGGACTTTCGGTTCTTCGCTAACTACAGTTCGAAAGTCTTACACTGGTAAGACCTAGGAACTCTTGCGAATATGGAGCAAGCACGTCTAGCCACCTATGAACTCTCAACCCTTGTAAGCTCACGGAATGGCACTTGTTGACACATCGACGGGAAGTAACGAAAGTGCGAAATGCCCTTCGTGGCCGAAATTCTTCTGGAGAACAACCCTGGACAGCTCTCCGAGCCTGCTCGTTTTGTGCGAACAACGATATCCACTGTGCTCAGTAGTTGTTTCTTCACCATCTGACAATGTAAAAAAAAACAAAACAAAAAACGTGGTGTACAAAAAAATTGAACTCGTGACAAGAAATAGTTTCTGAGTTCTGCTGATCTATCCGCGATGTGCAACTCAACCACCATAGGCCAACTTTCAGCATTTTTTCCTCGGTTTGTTGGGGTACTAGTAGATTTGAAAGGCAGTACCCGGATTTAACTCCATTTGCTTAAACGCGTCAACCGATAAAACATTGTTTTCAGAATGAATTCATTTTCCTTTTCTTTACAAGAGATGCCATCGTCAGTCATGCCGAGTAGTATAACAGCGGACGAGTTTGACGGAGTTCTGCAAGACGTGGAGGTTATTTTGAGATTTTCGTACTTCCAAATAATGCTATCATTTGAAGAATGTCATTTTTAGATTCCTTTGGATACACTGGTGAGAAATTTCGAGAGGCGAACTGCATTGTTCTCGGCTATGTACTGTACCTTTTTTACCTGGATTCATCTTACACATTGTCCACCTCTGAAGGCAAATGGGGACGTTCCACGTCGCCATTCTAGTCGTTGCTTACCCTCTCGAATAATACTTGGGAAAGCCTCTTTTTGCCCTCCGATATGGACCCCACATGTGCTTACCAATGGGTTGTCTAGTATGCTGTTTCAGCCAGAATGATGCTAAGAAAGTCAGTTCCCGTATTCAAAACCTTCCGAAAAGGGTAGCAGGTGAGTGCAAACTGTTTCTCAAGTTGATTGCGTTGTCTTCGGGTTCTTTTCGAGAGGCTAGTACAAGAAAACTTTGTCAATCTGCAGTATAACCCTGTGACGTAGTTGCTTTTGCTAGATCTTGAGACAGTGAGACGCCAAGAGTGAGGCTTCAAGTCGTCGAGCTAACTGGACAGTGCCATTGGTCGTGAAGTATGAGCGTACTCTGAGTGAGCCGCTTCTGAGAAGACCCATTTTTTGCACAGAAGTAAATCTTCACCCATCCCAAAGCTCCTTCTTCTCAATCGTTTCTTCGCAACTTCCAGCTTTGAATGACGTCCAGATAAACTAAACAAAAAATGGCGTGAAATGAACTCATGATATATCGCAGTTTCACATTTGCCACGCAAGGAATGGTCCGATATGTTTACATACTTTACAAAATAGCCAGTATGTTGGACTAGGCTGGTTCCTAACTAACTGGTTCCCTGTTCGAAGCTGAAGTCATTTCAGATCCCATTAATTCAACGCGTGAAGTCATAGCCGCTCGCAAACTCCAAGTTGATGATGTGAAGGAAGGTACGATTTCTGCATAACTCTTCTTATACATTGCACCTTGATTGTCGGGATTTGAAAACTTCTCGTTCTTCGGGCGTTGTTTTTTTTAATGGAGCTTTATCCGAAGGCTATGAGGGTGAATACTTCAGCATTACCACTCTCTTTTTAACCGTTTGAAACAAACAGCTTTGTCAATATGGGAAGGGGCCATCTCTCATATCCGCGAACTTATTCTTTTGAATCCTTGTATAAACTCTTCTAAGATCCTCTCCGGGGCAATTGCGAACTTGCGCTCAGACTTCAGCCGTGATGTCGCACAGGATGACTGCGTTTGCAGTTTGTCTCTGAACAGAGGAAGTGAAGCGGAATATTTTGAGAGAGAGGTGATGGGCATGGATACCGCAAAGAGGTTGTTTCTGTCCCTCTTAGAGGATTGTAGTCCTTCAATGGCCGCTCATTCAAATCTGTCTTGCTTGGACTCGTTCGGTTCCCCTCTTTTTATGCCGTTCGCTGGCCAAGTGGTAGCGACTTGTTCGAAAACTGGCTTTTGCTTGGCAGAATGTAGTCGTTAACGTTGAAGTGGGCCCATCCATCCTAACCGTGTGTAGCACCACTATTTTGAAAACATGAGTATATTTTCATATCACTTTATCAGTCAGCTCAGTCTTTACTGCCGATAGTGTTTCCTTATCCATCGTTTATCCTTAGTTGCTCAGCCGGACGGTTTCAAGGCATCTGTCAACCGATTTCTTTCTCGCTGTGAGGGTAGAGGTATTTTCCCATCGCATCTTCTGTTCGAGCATTTAGAGGAAGGAAAATAAGGAAGGAGGATGAGAGATGGAAGAAAGAAAAAAAAGGAAGGAGGAAGGAAAAAGGAAGGAAGGGGAAGGTTACGCGGTTGACAGATATCTGAGACCCTGGTGGGCTCGGGGAGTGTTCGTCAGTAATCTGAGACTTCCTTCATTTCTAGCTTTTTAAAAGTGGAAATACATACGCACCGCCGAGTCACGGCGGTTCGGCGAAACGAGCGGTTGGCGATTTTCCTATCAATCCGGATGCCTAGGGAATTCAGACAACTTTCAGGTCTTTAGATGCGACAATTTGTTCGAAAGCTCGACCGAATGGAGTGGATCCATCCTAACAAATCCGACCAGCATAGAAGTTTCAAAACGCATGCTGTTTATGCCTAGATTTAGGGGACCGAAAACGATTTCATAGCTGATTGTAAATAAAAATTGTAATGTAGTAATGGAGGACGTTGAGGGAAAAAATATAGTGCGTTGGAAGAATTTCCATTGGAGATGAGCGAACAGTTATCGAATCGGCTTGTTTAGATTATGTTTAAGGACCCGGTTATCTACACAGCGAAACAAAGACTTCTATCAACGCTGTGAAGGATGTTTTGACCTTCTCTGTTAATATGATCGGTTGTTCCAGAAATTTTCGCACTGGAGAATCACAAGAACAACGTACTTGACGGTATTCGGCAATACACGGCTAAAATACAGAAACTTCGGGAAAGAGAAAGTCTAATGAGAATTGTTATCGCCGATCACGAGCAAAATATGGCTTTGAT